GAATCTCCAAAAATAACTTTAACCGTCGATGTCCTTAAGGTTTTTATGCCCAATTTTTCGGCAAATGTCTTCGACATAATGTTGACATTGGCTCCGGAATCGCACAGGCAGTCTGTGAATTTGATTCCTGAAATGAAACATTGGAAAACAAAACGTCCCGGATCGTCGGCTTTTGTAAGCCTTTGAAACGGTGATCGTTGAGGTACCTTAAATGGCGGCTGCTTGGCATCGACATCCTTGTAAAGTGGTACAAAGATTGGGGTTTCTTCTTTCTTTCCATCGATTTTGGCCTCTTCTTCGGGCAATGTGGTTATGGCGTTGCAAAACCTCTTAGGGTTATCTTCAACTCTTCCTGGAAGAACTCCACTTTGCCTCTTCATAGAGTCGGCTGTTTGGGCGACTTGCACGTCTAGCTTTTTGACGTGCGAAGATAAAGATTCGAACTTACCGTTCAGATCATTGTACATGCAGTTGACTTTCACGTTCACGTCTTTAGATGCTTTTTCGTTCGTCATAACGAGCTGTTGGATGGACTGTTCAAGTCTACCGATTTGTGAAGCTAGCTGGTTCATCGTGACTCCCTGCTGTTGTACAAATTGATTGTTAAAACCCGTACCTTGGTAGTTATATGGCTGTTGCGGTTGATATGGTACTATTCCTCCGAAGTTTCCAACTTGAAACTTGTTTTGGAAGGATTTTTGCTGAGGTGGGTAGTACTGATCTTGAGGATTCTCCACATTTGGATTCCGGTAAGAGAGATTGTTGTAATTTGCATTCCGGAAGTTGTTGTTGAAGCCATTGTTGGAACGATTTTGATATGGCACCAGTGCTCCTACATAGTTCACATCTTCTTCTTGAAAGGCCTGATTAATGTGATCAATATCACTAAGTCCTTTATCTTCTGCGCCATTGTTGGTCTCACAAGCATGGATTGGGCATTTGTTGCTCTTCAGAAGCTGGCTCATCATGTTCTTCAACTCGGTTATCTCCTTATTGTCTGTTCCGGCTTGCTTCATCGATCGATCGTATTCGGGACAATCATTTCTATCGGCTTGAGCCAAATTTTCGATGAGGGCTCTTCCTTGGGCTATCGTCTTTTGTCCAAAATCTCCATTGCTAGCTGTATCAAGTGAAAGTTTGTATTTTGGTTGCAAACCTCGGTAAAATGTGCTTAGCAGGCTTGATCCATGAAATCCATGGTGAAGGCAATCACGTTCATACTCCTTAGAACGTTCTCAGGCTTCATAGAAAGATTCAGTTGGCCCTTGTTGAAAGTTTGAGATCTTTGTTCTCAGCTGATTCGACCTTGACTTAGTATAGAAGTGGTTCAAGAAAGCAGTTTTACATTCTTCCCAATTAGTAATTGATCCTGCAGGCAAAGATTTCAACCAACGGTGAGCTTTATCTGCTAATGAAAAAGGGAACAACTTACACTTTAAATAGTCTGGTGGAACTTGGTTTGTTCTCATCATGCTGCAGATCTCTTCAAAGAGCTCGATATGGTCCATTGGGTGTTCAGAAGGAACTCCATGGAATTGGTTTTGCTTCACCAATGAGATGATTTGAGGCTTGACTTCAAACTCATTCCGGTTCGGAAATGGAACTTGAATTGCAGATCGGTTCTGAAAATTTTGAGTAGGTGCATCAAAATCAGCTATGCGATGGTTCCTGGCTTGTCTTCGGTGTTGATTTGCTTGCTGCACAGGGCGGTTAACGCGTCCATTTGGCTGCATCCCTTGGTGGTCACCATCGGCTGCATTGATGGGTGCATTAAGGTCTTCACGCTCTTCTCTCTCGCGGTTCTGGTGGTTTCTTGGAGGAACCTCATCCTCCTCTCCATCTTGTCGAGCATGATCACCTCCTCTGTGATCATTCTCTTCATTTTCTCCATGTTCGGACCCGTCTTGGTCCATATTTAAAGATCGGTTAATAGGATCTCTAGGCTGGTCGTCGTTGGCCATTCCTTGTGTTCGTCTAAGTCTTCGAAGTTCTCTTTCGTGTCTGTCTATCTCGTCTAGAATTTTAATGTTTTCTACAGGTCTGCGCCTGGTATTCATGCAATTCAGAGAAGAACAAAAGAAGGGAAAGATAATTCAGCAAAACTTTAAGAAAGAACTAGAGATCAGGTGTCTAGAACAAAAGTTAAAACAAGAAAAATAGCAAAAGGCAGCGAAACAAATCCCCGGCAACCACGCCAAAAACTTGATGTCGTGTCAACTGCGTGAGGGAACAAGTTTTACCCTTAACAAAAACAAATGAAAGCCGCAAGTGCACAGCTAATCAGTTGTAGTATTTAGGGATCGAATCCACAGAGATTTGTGTGCTTGGTATTCTTCTACGGTTTTTAACTTTATGTCTAGACTAGATTGGTTTTTAAAGGTTGGTTGTTTGTCACGATTTAAATTAAAACAAAAGAAAGTAAATAAATTTATCCTAGAAAGCAAGTAGAAAAATCGAATGGAAAGCAAGTAAATATCAAACTAAGGCAATTGAAATGCAGATCTAAATAAACAAATAAAAATCGATTGGTTTGTAAACTATGACTAAAAACGCTGAGCTTTTGGGAACTCTAAGGGATCATATTCGGTTTTAACACTAGGGTAGATAGATTGGAATTGACAGAAATCGATATATAGGTGGTTCTAGAGCTAGAGTACGGCAGTATGACTACGTCACTGTCGTGATCATAACCAACTGTTTCTCGCAACCCTGACCAGTAGGTTTCCACTCTGGCCCTAGAAGGGAGATAACGCAAGAGCTGCACAAGACTCGTCAATACTCACGATCTCACCGCAGGTAGGTTTCCGCTCCTACTGAAAAATCGCGTGTTTCATTCTAGGGCTGATACTTAATGAAAACTTTCGCGACACTAACTATCTAGATCAGATACTAGGTGATCAATCAAGCATACATGCAATAAGAACAAGAATAAACAGAGAACAGGTCGAAATCCCAGATCTATAAACCTAGATGTCTTAATCGATTATGAGAGCCCCTTTCGGGAACCCTAAGCCCAACTCGGGATCTACTCAGACATGGCTGAGGTCGACATCATCATTGGTTTTAGTAAAAGTAATCAATAACAGTAAAGAAAATAGATGAAGAAAGCTTCTCTATTGAAGAACTCGGACTTGAACAACCTTCTACAAAAATCGCATAAAAACGGCTAAAGGAAAAGGGTTTCTGTAAAGTATGAAGGGTGGTGTCTAAAAACGACCTAAATGACATGTATTTATAGTCTTCAATACTCCATGGTCTCTAGGGTTCCGGAATTGAGGCTGAGAATGACTTTGGGCTTCAGAAATATGGGCTTTAATTCGAAGCTTGATGGCCGCGGTCGGGAGTGACGTGACCGCGGGGATTTGGTGGTTAGCCGCGGTCGCGTGTCTTGCTGGCCGTCTTCGAGTGGCTCCGGGGCTAATAGAATATCTTGAGATCCAACCGTTGGAATATCTCCAAACCAAGTGCATTTGAAAGCTGGTTGATTCCTCTATAAGTTTCCAATTTTGAGGGTGATCAGACGGTGAGAAGGTCTTCGTCTCTCCATGAGAGTTCTGACGGTCTGCATTTATCCAAAAGAGTCTTTTTGTTCCAATTTGTGCCTCTTTATCCCAAATTACCTGAAAAGTCTTTTAAAATCTGGAAACATAGAAATCCTTTGAAAACCTTTGAAAATGGAGTAAAAACACATGTAAAAGATATCAAAGTGATCCATAAAAATGGTCAAAATCTGGTGTTATCAGTAATTAGTAGAATAAGCTCACAATCTCAAAAATACTAGAACAATCTTGCTTTTTGAAAAATCCCGACTTTACTCTTCGGACGCTTTGGTTAAAAAAACGCAATTACGAGAACGCCATTATTATTTAATTTCCATGTCAGCAGGAAAAATAACACGCTAAAAAATAAGCTTACCATCGTTAATGGTAGAGATATTTATGTTGATAGACTTAAACGTTTGTGGGTAGATATATTATCCGTTGATAGATTTGTGTAAATGTTGATAGATTTGTAAAATGTTGATAGATGTTTTTTTGGTAGACTTATTGGTAGATATAAACGTGAAGGTAGATTTGATTTTGGTAGACTTATTGGTAAACATGAAGGTAGATTTGATTTTGTTGGTAGATATAATATTTTGTTGATAGAATTTTTGTTACGTAAGGTAGATTTATTTCGATTTGGTAGATATAATGATGGAAAGTTGACTTTGGTTGACGAAATTGGTAGAGTTATTTACCTTTTGAAGTAGATTTATTTTAGTAAAAATAGACTTATTTTTGAAAAATATAAATTTACTACTAGAGATTTAGATTCATAGTGATAAATTTATTTGTGTATATGGTAGATTTAAAAACGCGTAGTAGATTTGCTATTGCGAAGTAGATTTGTTTTCTGAGTGATAGACTTATACTTACATTTTTGAACATGAGATTTGTTTTATGAGTGATAGATATATTAGACAATGTAATAGAGATATTTGGTGGTGGTATATTTATTTTTCCAAAAATAGATTTTTGGGTAATATAGTAGATTTATTTTTCATTTTGGAGCATTGATGTTGATAGAGTTCTGTGAAAATTGGTAGACTTTTTAAGAATTAGTAGACTTATAAAACTTGATAGAGTTATTTTCCTGCACTTGAAGGTAGACTTATTGATACAAAATTACTTTTTTGTCCAGCAGTTATTACCGAATTTCCTACATTCAACCACCGCATTAACTACATCTAGGGTAGCCGCCCTTAAGTGTTCGTCGATGATTTCCCTTGTATCAGATGCTCTCTTGATGTTGTATCTCTTTCTTCTAACATGTCTTCTTCATGCATGGTGGATATATTTCTTGTTTGTGGGAAATGGGAATTCGCAAAAACTCGTTATGTGTTCTTGGTGGATAAGAGATATGGAAGTCCAGCATATGAAAATATATGGTAGATTTAATATCTTGTGAATGATAGATTTATTTTCAACGATAGACTTATGTATATTTTCTATATACAGGAAAGAGTAGAAGGTGTTAAGCAACTAGCAGTGCAAGAGATTGACGAGCATTTGGCACAGGTTACCGGTGTCTCATCCTTACATGTAGTCAATTTGGAAAGACGAACGTGTACATGTCGATGTTTTGACATCGATAAAATACCGTACGTCCATGCCGTTGCAGCAGCTGAGGCTAAAAAGGATTTCCGCATCAGTCTAGCCCATCCTTACTATGGAATAGTTATGCCAAGAGATATTAGGTTATCTGTACCTGAAGATATAGCTAAAAATGTCTGTCTGCCACCTTAGGTGCGTCAGCAACCAGGGAGGCCTAAGAAATCACAAATGAAAAGTGCTTTAGAGAAAGCTATGCAGAAGAAACGTCCAAGGAAAGAGCACATGTGTTCTACATGTGGCCAAGGAGGCCATAATCGTGCTACATGCCCATCATGAACTATTTTGATCAATCGTGTGTAATTTGTATGTTTGTTGTTGTTTGAACTCTTTTACTTCATAAATCATCATATGAACACATTAATAAGAGTGTTTTAAATTAGTCATAAATACCATACATAACTAAACGAAAAGTTAACCATACATAAGAACAAGTGTACCATACATAACAAACTAACAAGTTTACCATACATAAGAACAAGTGTAACATACATAACAAACTAACAAGATTACCATACATAAGAACAAGATAATAAGTCTACTTAACAGAATAAGAAGTCTATCATGCTACGAATAGTTACCAGTTTATCTCTCTACTGAAGAGATATGAAATGGCAGCAAACACAACCATAATAGCCGGAATCAAATACCCATCACTTCGGACGGCGTAAAGCTCCTTCAGGCCAGCAATTTCGCGTTCAAGCTGGCTTATCTGTACTCGTACAAACTGAACCTCAGTGGTCTACCACCGATTAAAGCAGGATTCAAGAGACAGTAAGATAATCAACCATATAAATATGTGTACCATAATTTAACAACTCTACCACTTTCTAAATAAATCTACCATAAATAAACAACTCCACCACATTATAAATAAACAACTCTACCACATTCTAATTTAACAACTCTACCACATTCTAATTTAACAACTCTACCCTACGTAAGCAAATAACTCTACCAAATATATAAACAAGTCTACCAGTAAGAAAATAACTCTACCTCTTCACTGCCAACTGGTTGGCTATGAACTGGTGAATCAGGTGTGAACTCCAAATATAACCCTTACATGAGAGTTTAAGAATTTGTCCTATTGCGCATCGGTTCATCACATCATTGTAGACATCAAGCCCAACACCAGCGGTCAGCTTGCCGAATACATTCAGGTGGCAGCCATAGTTAAAGTTATGCTCTTGTAAGGGAGACTTCCCTAGCCGATACAATCTTGGAGGATATGCGTTAGAGTTGCTAGCTGAAGCCATCTGTTCACAAAACCAAATATTCAACACAAGTCCATACATACGAAAACAAGTCTTCCGCTATCATAAACAACTTAATTCTTAAGAATTAAAAACAAGTCTACCATATAGTTCTTTCTACTAAACAAGTATACCATATCTATACTAACAAATCTACCAAACATAAGTAATAATTTTACCATACCAATTGAACATAAACAATTGACAAATTTCTATTGCAAATGAAATCAAACCAATCAATCTCAAACAAACAACTCTACTACATTATATATAATTATAATATTTACGAGACATATGTAATAACTCTACCATAAACGACAAATAACTCTATTATATACTACAAATTACTCTACCACAGATGTGTATAATTTTTGGGAGAATTTTTGATACAACAAATTATAAACCTCACCGGAAAACTCTTCGACGCTCGTTGGTTCACAAATCCTTCGACGAAACCACCGCCGAAAAATGCTTGCTGCAACACAAAAAAAAATTAGGGTTACAAAACTTCCCTTTAATCTTCTCCTGGTTGTCGTCCCCGACAGAAACATCCATGGTGAAGAACAAGATTTCAAAAAATGAAACAAAAACTTTTGGAATTACTGTAAAATGAACCAAATATTAAAATGATGCTTACCAGAGACACAGAACCCGCCGATAAGAAGAACGGAAGAAGCACGGAAGAACCAGACCGTCAGAAAAATCCTAGAGTTCGGTCTCGACCTCAGACTTTTCGTTTTCGCCATCGCCGTCGCCTTTTCCTCTCTAGGTTTTTTTTTTTTGCTCAACGAGATCTGAATTTATTTTTATTTTCGAAATCTTATTAAAAAGATTCGGATTTTCTAATTTTCGAAAAGTTATTAAAATGATTTTCTACTTTTTAATATATATATATATTGATTTACGAAATTAAATTAAATTTTGAAATAAGTAAAAACATGTTTTAAAAATTGTCAGGGGCTACACCGTCTTTTCTCTCTTGATAAGGTTACTACAGCAACAATGTAAGGGTAAGGCATCATTCTAGTAAACCTACCTGTTTGTAAGGTTATTCTAGTGTTTGTTCTCTATTAATATAGATTAAGTATGTTAAAGCACCGTACATAAGTTTATGTATAGATTTAACATTTTCCAAAAGTCTAAACCTGAAAAATCCAATTTTCCTAATATATATACACATCGATTTACACTTTGTTTACATGCATAATATTCAGTTAACTAATTAGACAAATTATACATACGTAGAGAAAGATGAGAGTTCTTTGTTTGAAACAGGCAAGACGTTGATTTCTCTTAAAAATCACCATGCAGCAGGCAAAAGTAAAAGCTAAGAATATATTTACCACCATAATACCGTATTAGTGTGCGAACTAGACTAGTGTGGTTTATAATCTAACGGTTCTGAGATTAAAGACACTACAAAACTTATGCGCCATTGGCTTTTTCTGTTTTGTTTTAGATTTATATCCGGATTCGTCAGATCGCGTACTCCCACTGATACTAAGCACTGCGCCTATTCTTTGATAAAATAAAAAAATTCACGAACCTACCATTTAAACCCAAAACCCAAGTGACCAATGATCTACGCACATAATTTGCAAATGGTCTTTTCTTCGTTTTCCCTCAATTGTCTTGAGATGCTTGGAATCAGAGAAGATGTAATATGGTATCTTGATAGGCTTGGAATAAGATCATTCATGGAGCAGAACTTTCAGACCTATGAGAACCACACCAAGGATTCCTTGCATCAACAACTTTGTGCTATAAGAAAAGAGCTACTCCTAGAGCTCTCCTTCTCTATTGGAGATCATCCTTACTCTCTTACCATCTTAGAGATATGTGATGCTTTGAAGTTGCCTTATTGTGATGAGATTGCATTGGAGAAGAATCCAGATGATGATCTTTGGAAACTGATGGGTTATGGAGTGTATGACAAAGGAAGATCCAAGGCATCATTACTCTCTCATCCTGCTGTCCGCTATGTTCATAAGCTACTAGCGCACACTGTGTTTTCGCGAGCCAATCAAGCGAATGTCCTTAAGCCAGAATTGGTGACACTACAGCTACCATTCACAGATCACCCCAGGTTTCCTTGCTTTGCTTGTATCATTGCAAGGAACATAGTGAAGGTTAAGCATGAGATGCTTACATCTGATTATCAGGACTACTCACCAGCTTTTGGGAGCATCATTACTACGCTTATGATAGCAGCAGGAGTTTAATTTTTCAGCTGAGACACCTCTTAGAGAGGATTGGTTTGATGTTTCCCAGTTCTCTAGAGACAGAACTATCACCAGGGCCAAGATGGACCCAATTGGATTTGCTTACAAGTTCTCCACCAGTTCCACCGAGTACAGGGTCATTTTTCCATCGGATTCAATGTCCCGTCTCTGAGATGGTTCAGACCCAGGATGGAAACCAGAGACTAGCGACTTCCTACCATCTTTACCACTCTTACCTCAGACCATGAAGCAATTTCTGGCTGCAAAAGCCAAGAGAGAGGTAGCTGCAAACAGCAGGAGACTTCAGTCTGTACCATCTTCATCCAGAGCCAGTTCTTCTCATATCAGAGCATCCACTAGGAGTGATGCAGACTTTGCAGCTTTGAAGAAGAAGCTTGACCAGCAAGAGAAGATCAACAGGCGCATGAAAAGACTACTGAAGAACCGCCGGTTTGATGATGACTCCTCATCTACAGAGACAGATGACAACCATGAGACATATGCGCCTATCCATCACCAAATCGTACCCACGGTTCTATCACCATTTTTCTTTTCTTTTATTTTAGACTCTTTTGCTTTTATTTCACCATCTTCTCACCAAATTTTTCACACTGGGGACAATGTGATTTAAGTCTGGGGGAGGATGTCTATCCGTACTAATCTATTTTTCTTTGTTTCTTACTTTTTTCTGCGATTTTTAAAATTTTATATGCTTATTAAAAGACCTTGAGTATTTTTCTGGAATGTTTGACACAAAACTATGACGAGTAAGACCCATATGCTTCTAGACTTTACATGCTAGTTTCTTTTGTGGTTAGTACTAGACTAGGCAGTAGCTAGAGTATTTGCACTATGAACTCCCACCAGAGGATTTTTATTCATGGAGGATTTTCCTGACAGGATAGTGTTTCAGCGGATAAATATCAAAACAGAGTCTCGAGGATCTATGGATCAAGAGGATCTGTTTGATGCTCAAAATTATTTGTTAGACAGGGAGAATTCGAAGACTTTAATCAAGAGAAAACTCTTTATTATTCGATAAACAACTAACTATTCCCAAAGGATTACAAAACCTTATATAGAGGTGGTCTAAGCCGACCTTAAGCCAAAACTAAAGCCCTAATCGATAAATAGAAGTTCAATAAGGAAAAGGAAATAGTTTAAAACCCGCAAATAACCATTAAGTAGAAAACTTGTTAAACACGTAAAAGATAAAGTAGATGTCGCTACATCAGGTCTCCCGGGGTAAGAAGAAAATTCGCCCTCGAATTTTCAGTGTCATCTTCGGCAACCTAATGAACCAAATACTTCACGTTAAAAACATCAGCTGTGTTCATATGAGGAGGCAACTGCAGGGGATAAGCATTGTTATTAATCTTTTCAAGGATCTTGAGAGGACCCATTTTTCGCGACTTGAGTTTGTTGTATGTGCCTGGTTTGAAGCGATCTTTGGTTAAGACTGCCCACACTAAATCACTAGGTTGGAATTGAACATCACGGCGGTGAGCATCAACATCGGACTTGTATTTAGCGGTTGATGACTCCAAGTTGGAACGAACCTGATCGTGAATGGCAGCAAATTCTTCAACAAGGTCACAAGCTCGACCATGGAAACGCGTATGATCTGGAGTGAGAGCAAGATCTGCAGACAACACAGAAGAGTCCCATAAACCACCTGAAAAGGACTGAAACCAGTGCTCCGATTAACAGCTCGATTATGAGCAAACTCAGCCTGGCACAGAACGGTATCTCACATTTTGACATTGTCACCAACAAGACACCGTAACAAATCACCAAGTGCCCGATTTGTCACCTCTGTTTGGCCTTCCGTCTGAGGATGAATAGCTGAACTCATGTCCAATTTGCTACGAATGTGACGCCACAGAGATCGCCAAAAATGGCTCAAAAAGCGAGAATCCCTATCTGAAACAATA